TGGTAGTAGTGATGCTGATGATGGTCACTGATGCCAGCGGTGGCGGGTGGGTGGTGCCAGCATTGCCATCACCCCGCCGTGACACTGCTGTCACCGTCCCGGCAGGACCACTGGGAGGACGAGCAGGGTGCCCCGGTGAGCCGGGAGCTGCTGCTGCTGGTGCTGCAGGGGCTGGAGGGCATCTTCATCCGGGCGGTGTATGACGGGCGCATGGCCAGCGTGGGGCTCAGCGACGTGGCCATGGACATCACCAGCTCTGCAGACACCGGCCTGGGGCTGGCTGGTGACATTGAGGAGTGCAGGTGAGCACTGGCAGCAAGGCCACGGGCTCAGTGCCACTGCTGCTGTGGTGCCACTGTCACTCTGCTCTGTCCCCAGGTGCCCCGTGGGCTACACAGGGCTGTCGTGCCAGCGCTGTGCCCCCCGTTTTGAGCGGGTGACGAGGGGACCCTACCTGGGGACCTGCTCCGGCTGTGGCTGCCACGGCCACTCCAACACCTGTGACCCTGTTTTTGGGCACTGCTTGGTAAGGAGTGAGGGGGTGACGAGGGGACAAGGGGACAGGGATGCAGCATAGGATCACCACTCCCCTGTGACATGTGTCCCCGTCCCAGAACTGCCAGCACAACACGGAGGGTCCCCAGTGCGAGAAGTGCAAGCCTGGCTTCTTCGGCGATGCCACCAAGGGCACGGCCACCGCTTGTCACCCTTGTCCCTGTCCCTACACGGAGCCATCTCGCAGGTGGGTGCCGACCCCAGGGACCAGCCCCTGATGTCACCGCCCTGGTGTCACCGTCATTGTCACCCACAGGTTTTCGGAGTCCTGCTTTTTGGACACAGATGGCCAGGCCACCTGTGACGCCTGTGCCCCTGGATACACCGGCCGCCGCTGTGAGAGGTGGGTGGGGGGTCCCTCCCTATAACCCCCCCACCTCACACCCCCCACCCGTCACCCACCTATCACCCACCCATCCACAGGTGTGCCCCAGGCTACGAGGGAGACCCCATCCAGCCGGGTGGCAAGTGCACCCCGATTGGTGAGTGAAGGGTGCTGCTTGGGGGGGTCCCTGCACCCTTGGGTGCCCCCCACCCTCACCCTTGCTCCCTGCAGGGCAGGAGCTCGTCAAGTGTGATGCCCGCGGGGGCCAGGACGAAGCGGGTGGCACTTGTCGCTGCAAGGTGAGGGCAGGGGACTGGGGGGACAGTGGGAGGGCAATGGGGGGCTGGGTGCTGCCATCCCCCACTGCACCAGCCTGGTCCCAGGTACCCAGTCCCTGCCCTAGCACCCATCCTACCTCTGTCCCACAGCACCCAGCCCAGATCCCCTGAGGCAACCAGTCCCACCCCCCCAGAGTACCAAGTCCCACCCCTGTAGCACCCAGCCCAATCCCTGGGGTGTCCAGTCCACCCACCCAGCACCAATCCCACCCACTGCCCCATGGCACCCAGCCCAACCCCCCAGTAGGACCCTCTCCAATCCCCCATAACACCCAGTCTGACCCCTGGGGGCACCCAGTCCAATGCCCCCAGCACCAGTGACAGCCCCCCATGGCACCCAGTCCATGCCCCGTGTGACCCACTCCAATCCCCCATAACACTCAGTCTGACCCCCCGTGGCACCCAGTCTGATACCACCCCGCCCCCCCCCCCATGGCACCCAGTCCATGCCCCGTGTGACCCACTCCAATCCCCCATAACACTCAGTCTGACCCCCCGTGGCACCCAGTCTGATCCCTGGGGTCCCACCAGCCCCCCCAGCATCCCTCCCACCCTCTGCAGCCAGTGCCCCCCATTTCCCTGCTCACCCCTGCCCACGCTGTGCCCCCAGCCCAACGTCCGTGGCCGGCTCTGCGACTCCTGCGCCGCTGGCACCTTCCACCTGAGCGCTGCCAACCCCGCGGGCTGCCTGCCCTGCTTCTGCATGGGGCTGTCCCGCTCCTGCGCCAGCTCCGCCTGGCACCGCCACCAGGTACCCACAGGGCAGGCCGTGCCATCCCGGGCCATGGCATGCCATGTCCTGTCCTTGTCTTGACGTGTCATCCCATGCCATGCCATGTTGTGACATGCCATTATATGTCGTGCCATGCCATATGGTGCCGTGCCATGCCATGTGCTGTCACAACACATGTCACCATGCTATGGCATGGTCTGTGGTGTCACACTGTGCCGTGCCATGTAGCACCATGTTGTGCCATGTCATACTGTAACGTCACATCTCACACGCCACGGTGCGCCAAAAACCTGGTGGTTCTAGGACCACCAAAAACCCCAGGATCCCAAAAAAAACCCACCCAAAACCACCAAAAACTCATCTCAAAGATCTCAAAGATCTTGGATCTCCAAGATCCACCCCAGGAGGCTGAACGTCGGGTCGAAGTTGGCCACTGGCAGGAGGGCGGGGTGGGTAGTGCCATGCCACACAGACACATTGTGCCTTGGCACGTCATACAGCGCCATGCTGTGCCAAGCGATGCTGCCTAATGCCATGTGGTGTCCTGCCGTGCCGTGCCATGCCAGGCCATGCCCACCACAATCCCTCTGCCAGGTGCTGCTCAGCTCTGAGGACTCGGCGCCGCTGCCCCTGGCCAACCTGTCGGGCGCGCGCTTGGTGGCAGCCGTGCCACACTTCGTGTCCCCGCGGGAGCTGCGCTTCGACGCCTTCCGAGAGCTGCCGCGGGGCGTTCACTACTGGGTGCTGCCCGCGCCCTTCACCGGGGACAAGGTGACACAGCCGCTCCGGGGGACACCCCTGCGCCTCTCCGTGTCCCCACCGCCCAGTTCGGGGCGCGGGTGGCCCCGAGCCATGCTGAGTGTCCCCACAGGTGACGGCGTACGGCGGGGAGCTGCGGTACACGGTGACGCACCAGGCCCCGGCTGGCACTCCCCTGCCCCCCCAGCACCCTGACGTCCTGCTCCAGGGCAATGGGATCCTCCTGGAGCACTTCTCCAGTGCCACCCCCCCGGCTGGTGTCCCCACTGTTGTCACTGTGCCCATCCGTGAGGTGAGGGGGTCCCTGTGTGGCACCCAGCGAGAGGGGTCACGGTCGGGGGGTCAGACTGGGTGCTGGGGAGGGGGTGCTCTGTGGTCCCAGGGGTCAGACTGGCTGCCCCAGGGGCTGGGCTGGGTGCAGGGGTGGATGGCAGCCCCCATGTCACCCCGGTGTGGCACAGGGCGCCTGGCGCCGCGCAGATGGGCACGATGCCACCCGCGAGCACCTCCTGATGGCCCTGGCCGACGTGGACCTGCTCATGATCCGGGCGTCCTACTCGGAGCAGCCAGAGGAGAGCAGGTGAGCTCCTGGTGGGATCAGGAGGGGACACGGCAGGGTGGCAGGGTGGCAGGGCACTGCTGACTTCCCCTCCGGTCCCGCAGGCTGGCCGATGTCACCCTGGACGTGGCAGTGCCACATGCCACCGGCCGCCCGCCCGCACTGGAGGTGGAGGATTGCGCCTGCCCCCCTGGGTACCGCGGGGCCTCGTGCCAGGTGAGACCCTCGGGTCCCCTCACCGCCACTGTGGGGATGCTGAGCCATGTCCCACCCCACTGCCACTGTCCCCTCTAGGACTGTGACACCGGCTACACCCGCAGCAGCGCCGGGCTCTACCTGGGCACCTGCGAGCCGTGCCAGTGCCACGGCCATGCCAGCGAGTGCCACCCTGACACCGGCGTCTGCCAGGTCAGCTGGGGACACCCAGGGGACTCCCCGGGGGCCCCCATGGTGGGGACACCGATGCCATCACCCCCTTTCTTTACAGGGCTGCCGGGATCACACGGAGGGTCCCCAGTGTGACAAGTGCCAATCTGGCTACTACGGCGATGCCACCCGGGGCACTCCAGGCGACTGCCAGCCCTGTCCTTGCCATGGACCCCATGGGGACACCCAGTAGGTGCCGTTCCATGGTCTGTCACGTCCCTGAGGACAATGACTGGGTGTTACCTGTCCCTTTGTCCCCTCCACAGGGTGACAAAGGTCTGCTTTGAGGACACGGACGGGCAGCCCACGTGCAGTGCCTGTGCCCCAGGGCACAGCGGGCGCCTCTGCGAGAGGTGACAGGGACACTGGGGTGGGGCAGGGGGTTGTTTTGGGGTGAACGCTCCTCTCACTGCCTCGTTTGGGCTTGTCCCACCATAGGTGCTCGCCTGGGTACGTGGGGGACCCGCTGCGGGGAGAGCCATGCCGAGGTGAGTGCCACAGGGCAGGGACAGGGTGGTGTCCCCTGTGGTGGCACTAAGGGGGGTGTGGCTGACTGTGTGTCCCCCCTCAGTGCCTGGTGTCCCCGGCATGCAATGCCAGTGTGACCCACGAGGCAGCACCGGTGAGGGCTGTGACGCCAACGGGCAGTGTCACTGCAAGGTGAGTCCTGTGTGTGTGTCCCCAACCCCGGGAAGGGTGACAGGGCAATGTCATCATGCTGTCTTCCCCCCCAGGCCAACGTGGAGGGTCCCCAGTGTGCCACGTGCCGTCCCCACCACTTCCACCTGAGCGGGGATGAGCCAGCTGGGTGCCTGCCCTGCTTCTGCATGGGCATCGTCCAGCACTGCACCAGCACCGCCTACACCCGTGGCACCGTGAGTGTACCCTGCTGTCCCCACATGGCCCCAGGGTGTCCCCACCTGTCCCAGACCTCTCTCACCCCTCAATCCCGCAGATCCGGACGTCCTTTGCCTCGGGGGATGCCCAGGGGTTCGCCCTGGTGAACCGCCAGCGCAGCACCCGCGTGGGCAGCGGCTTTGGGGTGCAGCTGGGGCACCCCCAGCCCCACCTGACCTACGAGCGCTTTGGGGAGCTGCCCCCTGACTCCTACTACTGGCAGCTGCCACCTCCCTACCAGGGGGACAAGGTAACAGGGTGACCCCTGGGAGGACAGGGGTGCCCATGGGAGCCATGGGAATGCCCCACCAGGGGCTGCACCCCCTCCCCATGGGCACCCTGGGCACTGTTGGGGGTGGGGGTGTGGGCACAGCTTCCTTGTCTCTGCCCTTCTNACTACGGCGATGCCACCCGGGGCACTCCAGGCGACTGCCAGCCCTGTCCTTGCCATGGACCCCATGGGGACACCCAGTAGGTGCCGTTCCATGGTCTGTCACGTCCCTGAGGACAATGACTGGGTGTTACCTGTCCCTTTGTCCCCTCCACAGGGTGACAAAGGTCTGCTTTGAGGACACGGACGGGCAGCCCACGTGCAGTGCCTGTGCCCCAGGGCACAGCGGGCGCCTCTGCGAGAGGTGACAGGGACACTGGGGTGGGGCAGGGGGTTGTTTTGGGGTGAACGCTCCTCTCACTGCCTCGTTTGGGCTTGTCCCACCATAGGTGCTCGCCTGGGTACGTGGGGGACCCGCTGCGGGGAGAGCCATGCCGAGGTGAGTGCCACAGGGCAGGGACAGGGTGGTGTCCCCTGTGGTGGCACTAAGGGGGGTGTGGCTGACTGTGTGTCCCCCCTCAGTGCCTGGTGTCCCCAGCGTGCAATGCCAGTGTGACCCACGAGGCAGCACCGGTGAGGGCTGTGACGCCAATGGGCAGTGTCACTGCAAGGTGAGTCCTGTGTGTGTGTCCCCAACCCCGGGAAGGGTGACAGGGCAATGTCACCATGCTGTCTTCCCGCCCAGGCCAACGTGGAGGGTCCCCAGTGTGCCACGTGCCGTCCCCACCACTTCCACCTGAGCGGGGATGAGCCAGCTGGGTGCCTGCCCTGCTTCTGCATGGGCATCGTCCAGCACTGCACCAGCACCGCCTACACCCGTGGCACCGTGAGTGTACCCTGCTGTCCCCACATGGCCCCAGGGTGTCCCCACCTGTCCCAGACCTCTCTCACCCCTCAATCCCGCAGATCCGGACGTCCTTTGCCTCGGGGGATGCCCAGGGGTTCGCCCTGGTGAACCGCCAGCGCAGCACCCGCGTGGGCAGCGGCTTTGGGGTGCAGCTGGGGCACCCCCAGCCCCACCTGACCTACGAGCGCTTTGGGGAGCTGCCCCCTGACTCCTACTACTGGCAGCTGCCACCTCCCTACCAGGGGGACAAGGTAACAGGGTGACCCCTGGGAGGACAGGGGTGCCCATGGGAGCCATGGGAATGCCCCACCAGGGGCTGCACCCCCTCCCCATGGGCACCCTGGGCACTGTTGGGGGTGGGGGTGTGGGCACAGCTTCCTTGTCTCTGCCCTTCTCCTTTGTCTTCTTCCTTTTCCCTTTCCCTTCCCTTTTTCCTATTTTCACCTTATCTTTTTCCCCTTTGCCCCTTCTCCTTTCCCTTTTCTCCTTTCCTCATAATTTTTGCCTTTTTCATCCCTGTCCTCATCATCATCCCCATTCTTTTCTTTCTCCTCTTTCCCCATCATCATCCCCTCCCCTCCCCACCCTCTTCCCTTCCTCATCCCTATCTTCTTTCTTTCCCCTCCCACTTTTCCTCTCCTTTTTCCCCTCTCGTCTTCCTCATCCCTATTTCCTCTCATCACCTTCCCCATCCCTATTGTTATGAATGGGATGGGATTGTTGTGGTATGTGTCTTGAGCTGTTTATTTTTTAGCATCAATCTCATTATATGCTTAGGACAATGAGAAGATGTTAGCAGCTCACATCTAGGCAACAGACTAAGAACTTAAAGTTACAACTTACTTTATAAGCTTTTTGACCAGTCACACAAAGCAAAAGCACATTGGCAGTAGTTCTATCTAATTACTATAAGCACACATACCTTTAGTTAAAACAATGCTTGCTTATTTTGAATATAATATTTGCTTGTAAGCTTTAAGATACAATGTCCAGAGCTTTATTATTAAGCTTACACTTTCCTAATATCTCACCAGATATACATTTTTGTAACTTAGGAATTTATTCTACCTAAGCGTTAATACACAGACTATTGTCCTTCCTTTCTACTTCTTGTATACTTTTTTTGCTGACAAATCTTCAAGCTACTGCCTAGCTCTAATTACTATCTTGCTGTTTTTGAGGCTTGCCTTTTGCAATGCGCCCCAAGCCCTCTGCTTTTAAGGAATGCCACACATCCCCATCCCTGTGCCCATCGTGCCCTTCCCTTTGCCCATGCCATCCCATCCTGCTGCAGGTGGGCTCCTACGGGGGTCGGCTGCGCTACACCCTGACCTACACCCCGGGGGCACAGGGAGCCCCCCAGCCCGACGCCGACGTCCAGATCACAGTAAGGGGGTGCTGGCTGGGGTGGGACAGGACCCACCAGGTGCCACCAGGACCCCCTGACCCCCTTGGCCCCCTCGTCCACAGGGCAATGACATCACGCTGGTGGCCTACCAGCCTGACCTGCCCCCGCGGACCCCCCAGGCCTTCGAGATCATTTTTCGGGAGGTAGGAGGGGGTGGGCAGCCTTTGTCCCTGATGTCCCCCTTTCCCACAGTGTGTTGTCCCCCCACTCACCCCCCGTTCCTGCAGCAATACTGGCAGCGGCCAGACGGGCAGCAGGCGACACGGGAGCACCTGCTGATGGCACTGGCTGACCTGGACGAGATCCTCATCCGAGCCACCTACTCCACGAGCACGGCCGTGGCCGCCATCGCTGACGTGGCCATGGACACGGCCGTGCCCCCCCAGCCCGGCTTGCCCCCAGCCCCCGAGGTGGAGGAATGTCGCTGTCCCCCCGGATACCACGGGCTGTCCTGCCAGGTGAGCCCAGCCCCTCCCAGTGCCACCCCAACACCCTCATCACATCCCTACCCTCCTCCGCAGTACCTCCTCATCATCCTCACAATCACCCCCCAGCATCCCACCATCAGCTCGGGGTGACCCTCCATCACCACCATCACTCCTTTTGTCATTGTCCCCATCGTCAACCCCAGCATCCCCCGATCATGCCCAGTATCACCCTCCATCCCCCCATCAATCCCCCCAGCATTCCATCATCCCCCATCATCATCACTCCATCCTCTCATCCCATATCAAACCCGTTATCACCCTGCCAGCCTCACCCCTGTGACTCCTCCATTCTCCCTGCAGTGTCACCCCCCCATCACCTTCCATCACCCCCCAGCACTCCCCCCATCACCCCTCCATCACTGTACCTTCACCATCACCAGCAGTCCCATCATTGCCCATCAGCCCCCAGCATCCTCTCAGCACCCCCCTATCACTCCATCACTCCCCATATCACACCCCATCATCATCCCTCATGACCCCATATGAACCTCCCACCCATCATCCCCAACAACTCCCACCCATCATCACCCCCAGCATCCTCTATCAACCCCCCCCAGCACACCCATCATCATTCATCTGTCCCCCAGTCCCCTCTCTCATGTCCTATTCATGTCCTTCAGCATCCCCAGGATCTCCCCTATCCCCCAGGATGTCCCCTATCACTCTCCATCAACCTCATCACCCCTTCAGCATCCCCCCAATATCACCCCATCACTCTTCATTCTTCCCCCAGCAACCCCATCACCACCAGCCTATCTACCCATCACCTCAGGATCACCCCCATCACCCTCAATTCTCCTTTCAGTAGGGAGGATTGATCCCATCACTCCCCATCATCCCATCAGCATCCCCCCATCACCCCCATCACTCCCCCAACCTCCCCCAGCATTGCCCCCATCATCCCCATCACTCCTCATCACCCCCCAGCACCCGCATCACCCCTGTGTCCCCCAAGGCCCCTCCTCAGCCCTGCCCAGCCCCTCGCCCAGGCTGTGGGGGTCCCAACGCTGTCCCTCCCCGCAGGACTGTGCCCCCGGGTACACGCGCACTGGCGGGGGGCTGTACCTGGGGCACTGCGAGCTGTGCGAGTGCAACGGCCACTCCGAGAGCTGCCACCCCGAGAGCGGCGCCTGCTCCGTAAGCCCCCGCATTCCGAACGTTCTGGGGGGAGCTGTGGCGTTAGCCCAGCCCTGACACCCCCAATCTGTGCCCCCGCTATCCCCCAGGGATGCTCGCACAACACGGCCGGGGACTTCTGTGACCAGTGCGCCCCCGGCTTCTACGGGGACGCCACCGCCGGGACCCCCGAGGACTGCCAGCCCTGCGCCTGTCCCCTCCCGTACCCTGAGAACCAGTGGGTGCCCACGCTGGGCTGGGGGTGCTGGGTGGGGGTGCCAGGGAGGGGACATGCTCTCACCTTGCTCTGTCCCCGCAGGTTTTCCAGGACGTGTGAGAGCCTGGGAGGCGGCGGGTACCGCTGCACCGCCTGCGAGCCGGGCTACACTGGGCAGTACTGCGAGCGGTGAGGCTGCTGGCACCCCAAAACCGGCCCCAAAACCTGCCCCAAAAACCCACCCCATGGGCTCACCCCCATATACCCACCCCCAAACCCCACCCCAATATACTCCTCGCCAAAACCAACCCAAATGTACCCCTACAAAAACCCACTCCATGGGCTCACTCCTGTATACCCACTCTGCTATACCTGCCCTGATGGGTTCACCCCCATATACCCACCCCAAAACCCTACCCTGACTGAGTCACCCTTTTATTTTCCCAAAACCCATCTGCACTGCCTGACCTTCACATACCCTGATGGGCTCACTCCCATCTATCCATCCACATGTACCCACACCAATGTACTCCTACTGTACCCACCCAGTGTGCTCACCCCTATGAGTTCACCCCAGTACACGTATCCTAAAGAGCATCTATATACTCACCCTGATGTATGCACCCCAATATGCTCACCCCGTCTATATACTCACCCCAACACATTCACCAAAATATGCTCACCCTAAATTATGCACCCCGGTATACTCACCCTGATGGCCTGACCCTAACAGACTCACCCCAAAATGCTCCCCAGTATACCCACCCTAATACACCCACCCCAATATAGCCACCCCAATGTTTTTCTGCTACACCCACCCTACACCCACCCTGAGGTACTCACCCTTATGAGCTCACCCCAGATTTTGCATCCTAAAGGGCTCAGTGCTGACATAAGCACCCCAATACACCGTGCACCTACCCTGGTGGAGATGCCCCAAAGTCTCCACCCTTATACCCGCCTTGATGCAGCCACCACCCCGCTATACTCATCCTGATGTACTCACCGTGATGTGCTCACCCCAATACACCCACCCCGTGTACCCCAAAATGCTCATCCCCAAAGCACCCACCCCAAAATACTCCCTCCCATCTGCGCCCCACAAACCCCGTGCCCCCGTTGCTCCCCGCAGCTGCGCCCCGGGTTACACGGGTGACCCCACGGTGCGCGGGCAGGGCTGTGTCCCCGCGGGGCCGCCGCCGGCGCTGGCCGTGCGCGTGCACCCCCAGCGCAGCGCGGTGCCGCAGGGCAGCGCCGTCACCCTGCGCTGCCACGCCGCCGGGGACCCCCCGCTCTACTTCCACTGGGTGCGAGAGGACGGGCGGCCCCTCCCCGAGGGCGCCCAGAGCCGCCAGCAAGGTACTGGGGGGCTCCTGGGTGGCGGGGAGACATCGGGGTGTCCCCAAGGTGTGGGGTGACACCTGCATGTCCCCCCCAGGTGAGGAGCTGCACTTCCCCAGCATCCAGCCCTCTGAAGC